ATTTATTTTAAGAGTAACTGATTTCTAAAATAAAATTTAAAATTAAATTTTGCGTCATACGTTTTCAATTTCCTTAAGACAACACAAACAGCCTCAAGTTTCACTTATACACTATAAATAATTCCACAGGTTAAACTTACAAAAATTAGCTACCTAAATGCCTTCAAAATATGAGTTGTTTCAAACTGATATTCTGAGTATAAAGAACACAAAGATAAAAATACAAAGCAAAGTTTCTAAACGCAGGTGACAACGCAGCAATCGCAGGTGCTCAATTTGGATTCTCTGCTCAGATCTGATTTCTTTTTGTTAGCCCAATTCACATTCATATTTAAAAAATGTGGCCAGTATCAGATTCCAGTGTGAACTGGTGACAGTCCTGAAGTGACCCACATATGCAGCATAACAATAACAGACCGCGATCCCGTTGTGACAATACCACGGCGTTGCTGTATTTTTTTCCCTTTTTTTCTTAGTTCATATACAGTTTGATATTCTACGTAAAGACAGTCTTAATTAGCGCCGGACGGATTAGGACGATGCGTCGTTTTAGATAAAGGCATCTGCTAAATAAATCGTTAAAAATGGTATGAAATTATTTAGAGAAATGTATTTAGAGTGTCTAATTGCATCATCTATGCAAAAACAAGGAACAAATGTACTTATTTAACAAAGGAAATTAACTAAGATACCAATTCCTACCGAGGAAAATGTTAGGACACCCTATGCCCTAATAGCTAGTATTTCCCCCTTTGGCTGAAATAACCTCAGTGACACGTTTCCTATGACCATCTATCAATCTATGACATCGACTGGCAGAAAGGCTTCCCCACTCTCCAATGCAGAATTCCTTAAGCTGTGTGATGTTTGAAGGGTGTCTTGCATGCACTTCTGCACTTCACCCCACAGCATCTCAATAGGATTCAGATCCAGGCTTTGACTTGACCATTCCAGAACTCTCCATTACTTTCTTGTAAGCCATTCCTTGGCACAAGCACCCTCTGATATGATGAAGAATTCATAGTGGATTCTATGATGGGGAGCTGGTCAGGTTCTGCTGCAGCAAAGCAGCCCCAAACCATAACATTTCCACTCCCATGCTTCACAGCCGGCATGAGGTTCTTCTGCGCAAAAGCTGTCTTTGGTTTATGCCAAATATGTCCTCTGTTACGACGCCCAAATAATTCCATTTCAGATTCATCTGTCCAAAGCACACTGTTCCAAAAGTCCCAGTCTTTGTCTAGGTGGGTCTATGGCAAACTTCAGTGTTGCCCAGATGTTTTTTGACAGCAAGGGTTTCCTCCTTTCACAGCTCCCATGTAAATCAAACGTTTGCGTCTCTTTCTGATGGTAGATGCATGTACCTTGACATCGACTGTGGCAGGAGCTTCCTGTATGACCTGTGATGACCTTTTAGGATTTTTGGAGATGTCTTTCAACATCTTGCGGTCGGCTCTCCGGCTGAACTAGGACAGCCTGTCCTGGTCATGCTGGCAGCTGTTTTAAATGTGAATTATTGTGTAAATTATTTTCTGGACAGTGGAATGGCTGATTCCAAACTCTCTTGAGATATTTATATCCTTCCCAGACTCATATGCATCTACAAGCTTCTTTCTGTATCTTTGGATCTCACCATGGTGATCCCACTCATTTCAACAATCAAGAACAAACCAAACCAAATGTCTGTGGTTTAAGTAAGACAGGCTCCACCAAAAAGCTCTCTAACAATGTTCTAATCATCTTCACCTGATCCAAGATTTTTTATTGTCATTCCACACATGTTCGCACATGCTGTGGAGCGAAATTAAGTACTCAGGTCACGGATAAGCCACAGAGCTAGTCACACACACTTTTATATATAAAGATGAAAATTAAATATAAAGATATTGGAGTATAAATGGATTATAAAATTAGTAGTATGTACAGTGTTCAATACGCAGAAGCAGACATGGATGCAACATAAAACAGATCCAGGTAATTTACTATATAATAGTAATAACTTAGTTACTGTGTTATAATGAGCATTGTGTAGCACACTTGAATAAATTAATACTCCTTGTGGCGTTTGTTCTTTTTCCTTTTATTGCAAAATCTGCAATCACACACAAATAGTTAGCGGGTTAACAGTGTGGATGCCCGCGTGTGAACGCTACTTTGGCTGCGTTTAGTCTGAGCCAAAATGCTGCGCCAAATAAACATGAAATACATTCACACCAATTAACCAACCATCCATTAACTGAAAATATCTGGTACACTAATACAAACTAGGTTACTAACTATTCCTTCAGCCATTCACCACCGTTACTAGATGCATTTTATGCAAATGCAATTAAGCCGATTCCCCCTTTTCGCGGTACGAGTTTCACATACACTTTCTTTTTAAAATAACAAAACATGACTTGCTTTCTCACTGTTTATATCTATTTCGCCATTCCCCTCGCATATGCTTTTGTGGCTTCTTTGCTTACCTGCAATCACACACAAATAGTTAGCGGGTTAGCAGCGTGGATGCCCGCGTGTGAACGCTACTTTGGCTGCATTTAGTCAGAGCCAAAATGCTGCGTGACATCCCAGTACTGTTCACCGCTTGCCACCTAGTGGCGGGAGTAAAGTACTGTGCGTGAACTGCAAGTCACAGTGGTAAATAGCTTTCCTTCATTTAGAAGTGTGACCAAACATAACAAGTCATCGCAAATATAAATAAAATATTATGGGGGTGGCCTGGGATATGCATAAAACAGCCAGATCCCCACAATTGCACATATGGGCTTACTGCACGTGTTAAATATCACTAAGGTTGGTGGAGATAATAATTTAAATACTATGTTATGGGGAACATTGCACATATGAGTGTATTGCACATGTTATATGTCCTTTTGGTCTGCTGGAGGATTATAGTCTATTAGTCCTTTTTGTGATGGGGGGGGGGAATCTGTGCGGGGGAGGTAAGTTCAGCAGTCTTACAGCGTCTGGAAGGAAGCTGTTACACAGTCTGGCAGTCCTACACTTAATGCTCCTGCATGAGGGGAGAGGAACAAAGTATTTGTGCGCTGGGTGGGTGGGGTCCCTCATAATGCAAGAAGCCCTTCTCTTGCATCTGGTGGTGTAAATGTCAGTGGTGATAGGTAAGCTGCTCCCCACCACCCATTGAGCTGCCTTCACCACCTTGTGCAGTCCTTTCTGTTCTGCAGCCATGCAGCCGGCATGTCATACTGTGATGCAGAAAGAGAGAATGCTCTCTGCCTTGTGCAGTCCTTTCTTTTCTGCAGCCGTGCAGCCAGCATGCCATATATACTGTGATGCAAAAAGAGAGAATGCTCTCCACCACACACCTGTAGAGAGAGGTCAGGGCTGTGCTCCTGATTCCAGCTCACCTCAGCTTCCTGAGGAAATAGAGGCGTTTATGGGTTTTCCTGATAAGTGACGATGTATTTATAGTCCAAGTGAGGTCCTTGGTGAGGTGTACACCCAGGTACTTGAAGCTGGAGACCACCTCCAGAGGAGCTCCTCCGCCATGTAGGGCGGGGGGGGGGGGGAGAGTGCTTGTGCTTCTTGAAATCCACGATTAGTTCCTTCGTTTTCTTTACGTTGATGCAGAGATTATTTTTCCTGCACCAGTCCTCCAAGTGCCCTGGCGGGAGCTGGCACTGAGGGTAATGGTGGAGGAGGAGAGGTTGTGGATTTTAACATGCTGTGGTCTGTTAGTCAAGAAGTCCAGGACCCAGTTGCAGATGGGAGAGCTCAGTCCAAGTGTCTTGAGTTTCCTCACCAGTGTCTGTGGGACTATTGTATAAATGCAGATGTGAAGTCCAACAAACAGAAGGCGGACATACGAGTCTTTGCTCTCTAGATGGGTGAGAGCCGTGTGAACCACTGCAGAGACGGTGTCGTCAGTGGATCTGTTCCTGCGATAGGCGTACTG